TTTTTCCAACGTTTTTTATTTATTTTTGGGACAGAGAGAGACAGAGCATGAACGGGGGAGGGGCAGAGAGAGAGGGAGACACAGAATCGGAAACAGGCTCCAGGCTCCGAGCCACCAGCCCAGAGCCCGACGCGGGGCTCGAACTCACGGACCGCGAGATCGTGACCTGGCTGAAGTCGGACGCTTAACCGACTGCGCCACCCAGGCGCCCCAATAGGGGACCTTCTTTAAATGTCCTGGACATCAAGAGTTTCTAAGAATGCTCTATGAATTTAAGGGGGAATAGTTTACCTTCTGGGGAAATATGAAGCAGCTTGATGCCTTAGATCTGTGGTTTTTAAACCTTAGCATCATTAGAGTCACCCAGAGGACTTGTTAAACGACAGACTGGTCCCTCAACTGACCAAAATTTAGCATTTGTAACAAGTTCTTAGATGATGCTGATTTTGGTGCTCCCAGGACCAAACTGTAAGAATAAGAATCACTGCTAGTAGAAGAAAATGAAACCTCGGCCACCTGCCCCTACCAGATTTCATCCTTTGTCTCTGAAGTCACTGATCCTGAGGAAAGTCTAATCCTCTCTTTGGGTATATTAGATCCACCCATATTTGTAGAGAAAACTGCACGGCATTATGGTTTTAGGAGGACACCTCTGATTTTTCAATCCCACCTGTCCTGTGGCTTCAGTCAAGTTAGTTAATATATCTGAGGTTTGGTTTCTAAAATGCAGAGTTCATATCTATGAGTTGTTTTAATTAGAGATAACATATAAAACAGCTAGTATAATTTGGTAACACAGAAGACATTTCTTCTCCTTTGTGTAGCACTCATAAGTTAAGGCATGGACCTCCCTCTCATTTTTAGTTTTTACTCCATGTAATATTGGATTGCCTCCATTTGACGTCTTGATATGTAGCCCAAACTTCTGACTCTTATCAGTTCGCTCTTGAAATTGGTATGGAATTTATATTATGCACTGAAAGGCAACCTCATTTGTTTATCTTGGAAACACACTTAGTAATATTTGACTGCTTCCCAAAATTCCTCAAGTCTCAAGAAAAATTAGATAAACCCAATATTTTTTATCTAAATACTTCCTCAATACATTTAGTAGTCTAAAATCATGATCATAAAGCATAGGCTGAGAATTCTAGATCTCAGGTCTAGAGTGCTTCCATAGCTTTGTCAGTGTTTTTCCAAGCATGTTTGTAATATGTACAAACCACTGTATTTGACACTGTCCTTTCATTTGCATTGGTATCTCATCGCATCAAACAGGTACTTTTTCTACTTCAGCTCTCATTCTTTTCTTGTTGCAAGTTATAGCTGAGTGTAGGGGGTTTTGCTTTGTTAGTCAACCAGAAAAGTAGGAGCCCTCACGCTCACGGACCTCACTTTTAGATACAGATTAATTGGTTTACACATTGTCCCACTGAAATGCTTTTTAGGAAGTAATTTTCATCATATTTACATCTTATTTCAAAGTGACTTCCCAGTGTTTGGTTTTTTGTTTGGAATTCCACCAGAGGCTCTTCATCTTTGAAGATTTACCAACATAGATAAATCCATCCACTGTCTTTCATTTGAAGAGTTCTGATAATTTGTCCACCTACTAAGTTTGCAAAGGGTACCTGAAATAACTTGAGGAACCAGCATTCTATCAACTTGTAATTCCTGCATGTAGACATAAGTTAAAATAATGTCTAAAAAGGTTTTATGTAAACTTTTAGACTTTTCTATTTTAAATTTTTTTTAATTAATCATCTGAATATGGCAATATTAACTAAGTTACTCTCTTAGGAGACCTAATAGAAATTTCTTACTGAATATATACCTTAAGCCTAATTCCTTTTGAAGCAATGTGCTACATAAAACTGAACACTTCATTACCAACAAGGACAATGTTTTATTGAACAAGTCTATGTACAGTACAAAAAATTTCTTGAAATGAGACGCTATTGTTGAATTATTGCAGTTCAATGGCTCAGTTTTAATTTGTACTCTTATAAAATGCAAAGTAAAATAATTTAATGTTCAACAAGGAAGCACAAATTTCCTTTCTTGCTGAATCTGTAATATCTTTCACATATTAACAATTCCAAAATGCATATGCAGCATTTAGGCATTCTGAAAAGGTGTTTTACAGTACCAAATAAATTAAAAGATAAACACTATCATCCCTTTTAGGTTTTTCATCCATACAACAGTTTAAACCAAACATGAAAGGAGTACAGCTGAACCTTCAAGTGTGATCTGAAAAGAATCACAAGTTCAGTGTTACAAGTTATTTACTCATATAATCGGTGGTTTAAAAAAATGGATATGGCTAGAGCCCAAAGTACCAGTGTCCTTGTCCACGGAGATCCCTCTTTTTTGTAATATCTGAGCAGCAAAAATTCAGATTTGCTATTTTCTTGACCTTACTGAGACAGCAGAAAGTTAATATTTAATGTTTTGAAGGAAATTTTTATTAAAAAAAAAAGATTGAAACTTGGTCCATGTAAGATAAACACATCCTCAAAATAGAAGAAGTAGAAAAGTAAAAGAGAAGAACTGAGGAATAAGAAAGCTTCCTTTTCTTCCAAATCCCCAATGAGAACTGTTGGAAGTTTATGCACCCCACAAAAGCAAAATGATGTAAGTTTATGCTTTATAAGACATACATGATGAAATGTACACATTCTTTCAATAGCAATTATTTGAGGATTATATAAAGAGGTTTAGAACAGCATAGCCAAATAGATTTTTATAAAACATTCCTTGATTTAATTATTTATAGGCCAATTTGATCTCAATGTTTCAGAAATAGTTTTCCTTTAGCAACACAAAAGTAGAAATAAAACCTCAAATTAAAGATAAAATTAACAAGTGGAATATGTTTAAAACCTCTTGATATGAACTGCATAATGAATAAAAATAACAATTTTCAGACATGGATTTATGTCAATAGTCACAACTTATAAAAAGTGAAAGTTAAAAGATGTGATAAAATGCTAAATTGTAATTTTAAACTTCTGGAAAATATACAAAGCAGAAATTATATTAAAAAAAAAAAAAACCTCACTGTCCAAATAGTGTCCAAACAGACTTTTTATTACATGATGTACTTTATATTGAACTGAAATAGAACTCAAGTATATTTTTAGCTTTAGGAAATATGGAAAACATTTTTTTTTTTAGTTGACCTTAACGGATTTAAAAATCTGATTGAGTTGCATTTACTTATGTGTCATTTAAATGTAAATCCCACAGCCTAATGTAGGCTACACAACAAAACAAAAACTTAAATTTGATTGGAATGGACTTGTGACTATCACTTGCATAGTAGTGAATGAATAAATAATAAAATTGGGAATTTTTTAAAATCCTCATGGCCTGGATATCCCAACTTGATAAAGTCTGGATGCTACCTTGACGAAATGCCCCTTCCTTAGTGACTTCATTAAAGAAGCTATAATAAAGGTCTGACAAGATTATCTGCTTTGAACAAAAACGTGTCTGTTTGAATAACTGGAATATTTGGTTGACGATGGCACATTAGTAGCTCCATTTTTTAAGAATTTGCCTTTGTATTTTTGTTCATTTTATCCCTGCTATAGATTAACACACTACTAGGTAAAAGATCACTAAATTTCCTCTTTTAGAGAATGTACAGTGGAACATATCTGAGAGGGTATTTTAAAAAACATTTTGTGTTTGAACAATTCATTGACTAGTAAGTTAAAATCTTCCTTAGGAAAATTACTGGTCATCAAGGAAAATAAAAGCATCAATATATCTTAACTGTGTTCTTGCTGTGCAAATTTTTGTGTACATATTTCCTTTTATATATAAAAATTACTATTCAGACCAAATTCATCACTAATAAATAAGAAAGCATGAGTAGTATGGCTTATTTTAGAATTAACTCTCCTAACTGAATAAAACCAATGAATTCTTGACCTGATTTAGCTGACATATTTTTTTTACAGCCAGTTATTTTTATAGGACTGTACTTAGATAACTCACATTAATGTCTAAAAGGACCTTACTATGAATCATCAAGCAATGTCCTAACACTACTCTATATACAAATAGAAATATCCCAGTGTGCTTATACCATTATTCACATTGAGTTATTTGCAATTCAGTGTTTTCCTTCAATTAGATAGCCTTTAATGGTCTTAGATTCCTCCCATCTCTCCTCATAGTTACTGATGGTTCTTTTTCTATTTGACACTGCTGCCTTTAAATACAACTCATTGGTATTACCAAAATGGAAAGTGGAGCTTATTAGCAAAGTGTTTTGTTTTCTTTTGTTTAATTTTCAGTGCTGGCATGCCATTCATTGAACTCTATCCTGTCTAATCAATCATCTGGAAACAAGTTACAATCTTTTATGGATAGCATGGTGATAAATCAAATTTTATTTTCATGTATCAGTTTTTAAATTATAATAAACCAAATACCAATAGTTCTTTAAACCGTGTTTGACGAGAAGGGGAGGACATAATCTGATTATGCATGACAAGAAAACAAATTTCTTTTGTAGAATACTTTAAGCTGTTTATTGTAAACCACCCCCACTTCCCCCCCCCCTTTTTTTAATAACCGGTTAACTTTTCCCTTTCTGTAAGGCCATAGCTGGTTTTCCTTTCTGACTAGTTGCCCGAACATGTTTCTCACATAGGTAAAACTGAACATGCTGCATTAATAGTCATCAACTTTTTAAAAAATGTGGTTTTCTGGATAACTGGTACTTTGGGAGTTTTTTAATAACCCTTTTGGAGTCTAAACCAGCACATCTCCTCTCTGAGTTCATTCTAGAAAATGTGCTTTGTCTTTATCTTTAGTAAATCCAAGACCGCTTGAAAATTAAGGCCATCAGGAAAATAGCAAACTGATGATGCAATTTCTTGCAGTGCTTTTCTCACACTACTGCTTGATCGACAGATCATTCTGAAACATTTTTATCAGGCACCTGTAAAACAGAACATGTCTGTTAATTCAAATTTTATAGTTCAACTGGAATTCTAAGTTAGATTCCTATTTAACCCCTTACTCATTCGAAAAATATTGTTATTAGTAGAAAAGCAAGCTTTTCTTTTGCTCAATTTTTTTCAGTTATTTTCTGGTTCTTTTTCACTTCTGTTTTTATAATAGAAGCTCAGCTTAGGGGCGCCTGGGTGGCGCAGTCGGTTAAGCATCCGACTTCAGCCAGGTCACGATCTCGTGGTCCGGGAGTTCGAGCCCCGCGTCAGGCTCTGGGCTGATGGCTCAGAGCCTGGAGCCTGTTTCCGATTCTGTGTCTCCCTCTCTCTCTGCCCCAACCCCGTTCATGCTCTGTCTCTCTCTGTCCCAAAAATAAATAAACATTGAAAAAAAATTTTTTTAAAAAAAAATAGAAGCTCAGCTTCACTTGGTTTATATTCTGGCATTAGATGAAAAACATTTCCATCATAATTACTTCATTTCTAAAATTTTTATTACATGAAATCTGCAATGAAGAAAATGTCTTGGACACACAGTGAAGAGTATGATCAAAGAACATGAAAAACCATGTACAAGTTCTGGCTTCCACAAGTTCATAGGCTGTACCTATGCAAATTACTCACTTGTGAATTTCAGTTGCTTGATCTATGAAACAGGAATAGTAATATCACCTTCATAGTAGTGGTATGGATTGAAAGAAATAACATATAGGGTGGTGCTTTATAATCTGCACTATGCAAATGTTAACTTTCTTAACCTCATAAAGATCTATGGCATTTTCTGTTTCTACAGATAACACCTACTAAGAAGATAGAAGACTTACTTTCATCATCTGAATCAAATCCAAAGAGTGTCTGACATTTCTTTTGTGCAAGGTGAGCCTCAAGTGCTTCTGCATTACAGTAGGTGGTCAGGCATTTGCCACATCTTAATCTTTTCACGGATTTTTTACAAACGTTATCTTGATCAGAACAGGCATCTACTCTATCAGTCAGAAATTTTCTGCGTTTTGGCATACTAAGGTACCGTTCATCAAGGTAACTGGGAGGCAGTGGTCTGACATACGGCTTTGTTAAAATTAAGCCATATGAAGTATGTTCACTCGTCAGATTTGGTTTGGAAGGTGCCTGAGATACTGGCAGGGTATTATGTTCTTGTGGTACAACACTGGGTAAAATGGAACCATTTTCTGTCCTGATTCTGTTTGGATCAGTTTTCAAAGCAGGCTCTGACGAAACTAAAGGTGTCTGCTCTGTTCCACTGTGTCCATTGACTAAATCACTAATACTATAATTACTTTCAGAATTTGGCTCTATGTCAGGCATCTTTTGGTCTATCAAGCTTATATCAGAAACAGTGTCGTCAGAATGTTCATTTCCATTCTGAACTAAACCATCTGTTTTCTTCTCCATACTTTCTGTACACGTCTTTGGTTCTATGGAATCTTTCCTTGATTTGCTAGTAGAAACTGGCAGAGTGAGAGTTTGTTTCTCATTACTAGATGAGTCTTTTTCCTGATGATTAGGATTTGAGTCTGTAAGAACATCCCAAAGAATTGTTTCACTTGGTTGTGCGGAGGATTCTGGTGTTTTACTCAAATAGTGCTGAGCTTCATGTTCATAGAGCAGAGGAAGATCTTCAAAAAGCTCGTGACATTCTGGAAAACTACACTGAGCTTGAAATATCCTGTGACTTTTTGTGTGCTGAGCAAGCTGGAATGGCAACTTAAATGACTCGTTGCAATTAAAATGCAAACAGAAGTACACATTTGGGTAGCTGTGTCTATTAAGGTGATCTATAAAATGTTGAGAATCTTCAAATTGCCTTTGACAGAATTTGCATTTTCCTTTGCTCCACTTCATTACCGTTTGCCGCACATTTAAATCAGTTGGATGTACAGTCCTTGCATGTTTATTTAGAAATCCGATTCTTTTAAATATCCTGACACAACCAAGAGCAGGGCACTTAAAGTTCCCTTCTTGATCTGTAGCATATATCTCTTTTGGATGGCACACAGTTCCATTGATTTTATGAAGTACGGAAGTTTCTTGATTCAGGTCATAATCGTCTTCTTCATAATCACCTTCTTCATCCTCTTCCTCCTCATAGTCATCCTCACATACAGGCAAAGGTTCTGAGACATTATTTAAAGAAGTATCAGGATTCCCATTTTCAATCATGTTCTCAATTACATCTTCGGATACACTTACGGGAATTTCAATGAATTCAGCCACATGTGCAGGGATGACCTCTTTGTTTCCATCACTGGAAGCAGTAATTGTGTCTGCTTCCAAATCCTTATTATCAGAATTCCCATTCTCAAATGAAATGAAAGCATCGGAACAATTTATTTCTTCCACAGCGGGGATTTCTTGATCTTCCTGTTGAGCTGCAGCAATTTGCTGTCTTTGTATTTTCTTAACATGATTCTTTAAATGCTTCTGCATAAGTCCTTTGTTTCTAAATTTCCTACCACATATCACACATGAAAAACTGCCCTTTTTCTGATGAGCCTGGGCATGCCTTACAATGTGACCGCCTAGAAATTCCTTGTTACATAACATACACCGATGCCTTGGGACATTGTGATCTACTTTGGAAACATTAAGAGCCATAAGGTTTTTCTTTGTATTAATGTGACCCTTAGGTTGCACTCTAGACAAATCATCAGGATCAGGCTCTCCAGTGCTCTGATCGGTAAGAGAGTCAAGCCCTTCATCTAAACCTTGCTGTTCCACTGCCTTTTTCAGATTACCTGTAGAATTTTCCAGTGTACTTTCATTTAGAAATCTAACTGCTGATTTATCACTCAATAATGCTACACAGTTTTTCTTAATCATTACGAAGTTCCAGAATTCAGGATCAAAAAACAATCCCTTTTTCAAAATGGGAAGTAATTCAAAACGAACTCGATTTTGAACACTACTTGTGCCTTCGTTATATTCCTCATCTGGACGTTTGTAAAGGTCTTCAACAGTATGGTAAGCTTCCAGGGAGCGCTCAAGAAAAAATATTGAGAGTGCACAAATCCTGAGGATCTCCAAATCATTTGGCAAAAAATGTGCAATTGTTTTATATATTAAACATTTAGTTTTGGGATCATCATGAAGATCTAGTTGTAGGGCACAACCACATATTTCGACACAGATTTGTAAGCCATCTTCTTCAACCTGTAAGAGGAAAAATATTACTAAATACCTTTGTAAAAAACATTTTTACATTGTTTTATTTTTTTAAATATAACTCTGAAATGAGAGCTAAATAAACACATTATGCTACATGTGCAGTTTTCCTCATCAGGTAGCCTTATTTTAATTTTTCTTTAATATAGAAGTAAATCTTTCTTCTTTAACTTGACAATAATCTGGAGGAGATAGCATTTTAGCTTCCAATTTAATTAGTTTTTAAGTTTGACAAACCCTACTAATCGATAAAAAATGCTTCATAACCTTATGGTGATTAAGGTTTCTTACAAATCTAGCCCCCCATTTATTTTAGGTACCAATCTTACATTCTAAGGTAGAAGGGTTAAATTGAATAATGCTTAAATTAAATAAATGTTTAAAGCATTTATCAATTTTGATGTTTAAAAAGAGCTAGATTTAAAAAAAAAAGACTGCTTACAGACATTCATAAACCTGCACTAAAAACATTACTTATCTTATTAAATAATATTATTTATCCAAGTAAGAGGAAAAGTGGGGCCCACATGAACAGGGCAATTACAGTCTTTCCAAATCTAATAAAAATCAAAATAATGAAACTACTTGGAAGTTATCTGAAAATTATCAAGCTTTGGGGCGCCTGGGTGGCGCAGTCGGTTAAGCGTCCGACTTCAGCCAGGTCACGATCTCGCGGTCCGTGAGTTCGAGCCCCGCGTCAGGCTCTGGGCTGATGGCTCAGAGACTGGAGCCTGTTTCCGGTTCTGTGTCTCCCTCTCTCTCTGCCCCTTCCCCGTTCATGCTCTGTCTCTCTCTGTCCCAAAAAAATAAATAAACGTTGAAAAAAAAAAAAATTATCAAGCTTTGAAACTTTTACTGATGACTCAAAGGTAACTGAACTTGGGAATTTGTTATGTGTCCACCTTAACTCAAATTATAAATGATGCCTCTAGTGATCAGAAATGATCTAAATGCTTGTTTGAATAGAAAAAAGATACAATGATAATATGTCTTTAAGATTGTGCGTGTGTGTGTGTGTGTGTGTGTGTGTATGTATGTATGTGTGTGTGCTCACATGCACATGTGCTGCCTGCATATGTAGATGACAGGGAGGAACACTACCTTGCCAGCCTCATGTCTTCTTAGTCCTTTATGTGCTTTGTAGACCTGCTTGACTACTTACTTACACTTCCACAGGCAGACCTTAACTTTGCATGTTATAATCCCATGTTATCTAGGTAGTAAATTTCTACCCATTTCCTGTTCATTTTTTGAGAGTCAGTTTTACTCTGAAAGTTTTTCTCCCCATTCATATTCTGGCCCCAGCCCTGGAGTAGAGTTAAACATCCCTCTTCTTTCCACTGAGAATAGTTTATACTTATTTATAAAAAGTACATATATATTGTTTTGTAACTGTATATGCCCCTATGCCCTGACTTTGGATTCTTAAATCACAGGGACAGTATCTCATTTTTTATACCCTCCTGTCGTTAACATAGAAGTTGGCATAATACGTTGACCTTTAAATAAATGTTTGCAAATATGAATGGGATTGGATCTATTCTACTGACGTTAGCTTTCTCCTATGTAAATCCATCATTTCAGCTTGGAATCCTTTTCTGAACTCAAATTTTTATTTCTTCGTATCTATCACAATTAGATATTTCCACCTAGATTTTCCAGATATAGTAAATTCAAAATTCACTGCTTCAAAACAGAATTCCTTCTCTCTCTCCTAAGTTCTATCTACATCCTCTGTCTTAACTCATGAAATTATCATGTATCCAGCTGCCCAAGTCTAAAATTTTTAAGATCATAGGACACGTGAGTGGCTTAGTCAGTTGAGTATCCAACTTCAGCTCAGGTAATGATTTCATGTTCATAAGTTCAAGTCCCATATCAGGCTTGCTGCTGTCAGCGCAGAACCCTCTTCGGATCCTCTGTCCCCCTCTTTCTTTGTCCCTCCCCAGTTTGTGCTCACTCACTCTCTTAAAAATAAACATTTAAAAAAATTAAAAAGAATAAAACTTTAAAAAAAATTCAAAATCATCACAAAATGCAACAGGATACTTCCTTACCTGAAATCCTTCAACAATCCCAGTACATTTATGGACTGAAGTTCCAACTTTCAGTGCGGCATGCAAGTCCCTTAAGTATTTCCAACAACCACCACCCACCAGCCCTACAACTTCAGGCAGTCTCTGACTAGTTTCATCTCCCACACACTTCCTCATGTTTTTCTCCTACCATATTAATGCTAATGGACACTTGTGGGAAAAACAATTGATGTAGTGAGGCAAAAGTGCTCTGTAAACTGCAAAATACTTTACATGTTAGTGTTCTCCTCCTCTATCGTTTAAAACCCAGCTTAAAGCATCTTCCTCTGTGAGCCTTTTCAGATAAGGCATTTGTAAGGTCTCATTCTTCTGAATTCACACGGCATTCTTTTTGCTTCTTTTCAGAGCGCTAAAGCACGTATATGATTTATCCCATCATTAAAGATGTTTTTAGTAGAGTATACACAGCTAAGCACATTTTCAATATTTATTTCATCTTTGAATTTTTCCTCTTATATTCTCATGTTGAGTAGACATGTGAAAATAAGAAAGCTTTATGACAACTGGCTGAACATCACCTACATTGTAAACTTTGCATAACAAAACTCAACTTTTGGTGCAAATAAGAATCCTATGTATATATATGGATACATTTTTATTTTTTAAAAAGTTTTACTGGGGCGCCTGGGTGGCTCAGTTGGTTGAGCATCCAACTTTGGCTCAGGTCATGATCTCACGGTTTGTGAGTTCGAGCCCCGCATCAGGCTCTGTGCTGACAGCTCAGAGCCTGGAGCCTGCTTCGGATTCTGTGTCTCCCTCTCTCTCTGCCCCTAACCCACTCACATTCTGTTTCTGTCTCTCTCAAAAATAAATAAACATTAAAAAAAAAAATTAACAAAAAAAGTTTTACTGGTGATTCTGGTGCAATTTAAATATTGAGAAGGAGGGTGCCTGGGTGGCTCAGTCAGTTAAGTGTCCAACTTCAGCTCAGGTCATGATCTCACAGTTCGTGGGTCAAGGCCCGCATTGGGCTCTGAGCTCTGAACTGTCAGCACAGAACCTGATATGGGGCTTAAATTCATGAACAGCGAAATCATGACCTGAGCCAAAGCTGGATGCCTAACAGACTGAGCCACCCAGGTGCCCCAACAATGCATTTGAATGACATTTCACTGTTTAATAATGAAGCTATGAATGCAGTTAGTAAAATAAAATCGGAAATTTACAAACCTCTCTGAATATAATGCTGCTAACTTTATATCATGGGAATATAATCACTACATGGTCATACATCTAATGAATGACGTGATAATTAGTGTGAAAAATGGATAAATTTATAAGAAATATTAAAATACATTATTTATTGGATGTTCCTTATATATTTAAAAATAACCCACATAAAGATTCAGCCAAATGGAGCTACCTAAAATGCAGGGTAGCTTTATCTTTCCTATCTTGGTATTCAAGGTTCTGTTAATATTTGAGGGGAAAAAGTTAAAGCGTTTGCAGGATCCAGTTTCATGCCTATGTAAGAGTCTTACACAGAACTGTATTCACTTTTAAGTGACCATGAAAAACTTACTTCAGAACTATTTTTAAAAACAGGTAATGAATTTTACTGTTACTTCAAATAAATACTTTAAAAATTTGTCAGATTTCAAAAATGCTTCAGAATTCATTGTTCCTTTTCACCTTAATACCAGACTTAAAATTATGAACTATATTTTTCTGTGAAAGTGACCTATGTATATACAAAGTTCATTTGCAAATAAGTTAAGATTCTACAAACAGGAGTTAGGGTAATGTTAAAAGTGACACTTTTAAAGAAAAGAGATAATTACTTCTTATCGAAGCAGTTGTTCCCATATTAAATTTTAAGTAACAGTAAATTGGCAGTTTTTCGGTCTTTTTTCAGTTATTTTCACTTATGTAAATGCTTAGTACCATGTTGGGAGATTGCAGTTGGGGAAAGGGAAGGATATGATATGTGGCCTTTGAATCCTCCTTCTCTTCAGAAACATTTTATCATAAAAGATTCAAGTTTCGGTGAACTGTCATTTACATTTCATTTAAAATTAAGGGATAAATATATCCTATTTACCTCATCTTTAATGATTTTCATGAAAGGAAATATGACTCTCACATTAGTTGCTGTTCTTAAAAGCTGGTAGCATTGATCTACAAAAACTTGCTTTGAAGGATTAGACTTAAGCTGAAGTTTACTCCATATGAAAATCAACTCCCTGTAAATGAGAAAAAAAAAGAGAAATATTAAAAATAGAGTTTATTCAAATACAGGCATTAGCTATCTTTTGCTGATTCTATAGTACCCTGGCTGCGATGGATACAAAATGGGCATAAATGGATATTATGTTAACCTCCAGCTACTTCTGCTACCTGTATGGGACAAAAAGAGAGATCAGAAATTGTAATCTTCAGTGATAAGGAATGAATTCCAATCATATGCTGACAAACCCAAGGCACCTCTAGTACATGATAAATTCTAATCCCGGTGTACCTATATCAATGATATTACTTTAAAAAAATAAACTTTGACCTTTAATTAATACTTTACTTGTAAATTTAGAAATCAATTTTGTATACTTTCTATAAAGATATGTCCATGTTTTTCATTTTCAATCTATTAAGATACCTGTTGTGGTATAGGTTTAAAGTGTAAGACACTGTAGTACTGATTCTGAAATTTTATGTTTAAGATCATCTATTCTTCCTTAAGATATAGTATTTTTAAACAGAAAAGCTATGGGCCATTTAAAGCATTTCACAGGTAGATTGGTTTCTAAGATGTGGCCAAGGTTATTAGATGGACAAAGGAGGAACAGTGGGTCTTGAGGCAAAGGAAATCAACATATAATTGATATGTTTAGGTATCCCATTCTAGTAAATTAGAATTCTTTAAAGTGTGTCAAGTTACATAAAGCATCATAATCTAAAAAGTATTAAGATAATTGATGAAAATGGTTTTGTTTTGTTTGTTTGTTTTTTTTTTTAAGTGATTTACTGAGCATGTACTTTGAGCCCAGCACATGCAGCTATTAAGTCTAAGGATAGCTTGACTACTATCGTGAAGGTGTACATAGTCTACTTAGAGAGACAATACAGAAAGCACAAAACAGAAAATAATGGCAAGCAACACAGAAGTAGTAAAACCAAAATTCTAATTCCATCTTCTTCTAGCTGTATGGGTGTTAATAAGTTTCAGTTCACAACCCCACTTTTTTTGCATATAAAAGCTCACCAGGTTTCACACTTTGCTCCCAAATCTGTAGCTCTGACTTCTTTCCCAATTTCCATTCCTGGGTATTTCAATTTAGATTGCTTTCTATCACCATAACCCACTTAGAATGAATAATACTCCTGCAAAATTGATTATCTTTTGCTAGGTCAGTCAATGACACTAAACATTCCTCGTTAGGTTCTAATCTGTTTATTTTCCACAGCCTTTGTATTCAAATTATATTTTTGCCCATAGCCATACCATTCTTTCTCAGTGCTACCACCTTAGGCCCTCTAATTTTACATATGCACTTCTACAGCTGCTAAACTGCTCTGTTTCCAGACTTTCAAATAATTTCATTCAGTGCTTATTCCATATGTCACATAGTATTAACAGCAACAGAAACGTGGGTTTTGGAGTCGGGATAGGATTATAATCCTGGGCACTCTTCAAGGTTAGTTAATGTACTTTGTTTATTCTCATTTTTTTTATGCTAATTGCTGTACTCAGAAAGTAACTCATTTCTAAGATGAGCTTATCTTTCAGAGTCCATTATCAAATACCCCTTCTTCGTGAATGCCTTCACAATACCCCAATCTAAAGTGATAACTACCTCAGAATAGATCTATCCCTCTTGTTGGTTTCATGCCTTTCATGTATTTCCTTGTTGATATTTTATGGGGCCTGTTCCCCCAACTGTTGTTAATCCCCATTGTTAATTTCAGTGACACATTGTATAGTGGAGGTAGTGGCAAAAACATGAGACTGGGAATAAGAGATTTCTCATTAGGGCATTCTATACTAAATGGTGTGATATTACCCAGTTCACAGTGAGCCATCTTTTCCTGGAAATAACCTACTACACAAGGTTGGAACCCCAGTAACCATTTGAACTATGTGACCGTCCTCACCCTCCTTACGATATTAATTATAGGAAACTGACCCCAGTCAGGCCGGTCAGAGTCCTTGGAATGTTCTCAACTCTAAACTATGAAGGCTGGAGACTGTTGACATTCCTTCCGGTCTGCAACAGGAGAGAATGAAGTCAACTGGCAGAAAAATCAGTGTCCCTGGAAGCAGTTATCTTTGGGGACCTATTCTATCCTTCCCCTTTTTTTGTCATGACCCAGTATTTTTTCCATGTGCACTAACTTTTTCCTAAACTAATTAGACATAGGATGCTATCACTTGCAAATTGACTAGTATAAATTCTAACTCCATTTTATTACCAGCTAGGTGGCTTTTATCTCTTTTATCCAGTTTTCTTAGACATAAAAATAATGGACAGTTAAGTGAAAACACCTAGGTGAAATGTCTGGTATGTACTGATGTTTCATAAATCACTAACTTCCTTTATTCTTTCCTTATCTTTATAATCTTAATAGTACCAACCAGTGAGATTTATTCAACAAATATTTGCTACTTAATAAAGTGGTAAAAAAAAAAAAAATGTCTTCCTAAATGCTAAGAGCATTTAGAGGGAGCCTCTTGAGGAAATCTATTAAGGGAAATTGCAGACCCAGAATGATGTATAAGATGATGGTGGACATTCTAAATAAGGGGTATTTTATAAACAAAGGGATGAGATAGAAGGCAAGCAGATTACTGTGTTTAAGAAGACCTGGCAGATCTCTGCAACAGATTTAAAGACAAAAAATAAAAAATGATAGTTGGAAATTAGGGGAGAGTATTCATTGCACTCATTATTACACAGATCAATGTTTAACATATTAGAAATGTATATATTCTCCAACTTGCTCCAAAAAATAAATTGAGACTCCTAATAGACATCCTTAGGGTACACTATTATTATTTTTCTTTTTTGAAGAGAGAGATCTCATTTCCCTTTGTTTCTGTTAATTCAGGATGAAACTTGATGAAAAAAATGTAATCCCAAGATTCTAATAAATTTGCCAGGAAAGGGCTGCCAGTATGGATTTTAGCTTTCTAAAAGTAGGGAAAGCAGAAATCTCAGGATATGATTATGAAGCTCCATTTTGACTGAATTTATAAAAGGGGTATCGGGTTTTACTTGTACTTTAGATTTTGAAGGAAAACAAAATGCTCTGAAAACCCACAATAGTCTTCTTTGCTCATGAGCAAACAGTGTTGATGAAGCTTACATTTTCTTCTCAAATAGAAGTCCTTTAGAAAACATAGCTCCTATATGGTACACAAACACATTTCCCAGGTACTAGCTACTAATAAAATCATCAAGTAACAGGCTGCAGAGAATGTAGGCTATAACAGGGTCTACAGCCACCTTTACAACATACATTTTTTTTATGTTTGATCTATTTATAGTAAGTAATATTTTTTTTTTTTAATTTTTTTTTTCAACGTTTATTTATTTGTGGGACAGAGAGAAACAGAGCATGAATGGGGGAGGGGCAGAGAGAGAGGGAGACACAGAATCGGAAACAGGCTCCAGGCTCCGAGCCATCAGCCCAGAGCCTGACGCGGGGCTCGAACTCACGGACCGCGAGATCGTGACCTGGCTGAAGTCGGACGCTTAACCGACTGCGCCACCCAGGCGCCCCTATAGTAAGTAATATTTAATAGAGGCTGTGAGTCAGGCTGCCTGGGTTTGAATCTTAGCTTCATTATTTACTTCATTACTTCATTATTTACATGGCATTATTTACATGGGAATGTATATATGAAATACAGACTATAGGAAGCACTCAGAAGATATTAGTAGCTGCTGTTATTATTACTACTACTTGTTATTGTTAGCAAATGGCAGAGAGATGGGGTTGGTTGCTTGCTCTACTGGCTTCAGATAGAGCAAAACTGGACTATGGATCAGGTTCTGTCCTCAGAGACGGGGGAGATGAGGTAAGCTGGTTCATAGGAAAAGCCAAAATGAAACAGACAACACAGACCTCGGAGGCATGAAAGAATCCTGCTCTTCAAGTTATGGTGAAAATCAACTTTTAGAAGTAAGAGAAAAGGACCCCAGCATTCAGAAATATTGAGGAGAGGTAGAAGAAATAAGAGAGCAGGTAATCAGTACCCCGCCCACTCAGAAGGACGGACAAAGGAACAGGCTGAAGATTCCTTTCCAGTTAGGCAGCTGGGAGTCACACACCCAGCTTCTATTCTTAGAAGGTGCCAGTGGGTGGGGGCAGGAAAGATAGGCACTCTTCTATTTTTAAGATCCCTCCCTAAATAGTAAAATGGTTAGCCAAAAGAAGAAAGCATTTTTGTTTGTTTGTTTGTATTTGGGATTTCAGTTTACTTATGAGTATATTAAAATGAAGAGGCTAAAGATATTCTGTTGGCTTAATATAGTCAAAGTCAGAACATTCCTTTACGCATAGGAAAAGATCTACTTTAACAGTCATGATTATATTTCAGAATAACTACATATCAAGAAATGGTAACTCTTTAAAAACTATTTAAAATTGTCTTACCACTGCCTCCTGATCCCCTCCTCTGTTTGAAATTCCAATTTACATGGTAAACTTTTTAATACGAATTTGCATAATCTAAATAAAAATATACTTCCCTGGAAGATAAGTCCACTAATTTCTAGACCCAGCTCTGCTACTAATTAGCTATTTGACTCTATCTCTGAGTCTGAAGATTTTAATCTATAAAATAATATTAAATGAGTTTATCATTAAATTCATCTTCTAGGTATTCTTTTAAATATTTTAAGAATTTAGGTCCGAGATGGTGACGTAGGCAGACCCTGAACTCACCTCCTCCAGGGACACAACAAATCTGCACCTACACAGAGAGCAATTCCTCCTGAAGAACTGAGGACTGACTGAACAGCTGAACAACAAAAGTAAGAGCGACCACATAGAGAATGGCAAGAAAGACGGAGACACGGTAATAGGGAATCCCCACTCTCACCCCTGTAAACTGCAGTGGGGAGGGACAGTAATAAGGGACTATGAGCAGATTCATCTGCTCTGAGGTACAGAAAAAAAAGTTGCAGTTTAAAAGGGCAACTAGAATATAAAGGATCTAGCCCTAGAACTCTGCCAAATGGCA